GGTTCGTGAACTCTGATCTGATGGTAACCGGAGCGTAGATCCAGCTTGGAAAATACCGTGGCTCCATATAACTCATCCAATAATTCATCGATATTTGGGATTGGGTATTTGTCGGCTATCGTTATTTTGTTGAGAGCTCGATRATCCACACACATCCRCCAARTATTATCTTTTTTCTTGACGAGTAGAATCGGGCTTGAAAAGGGACTATTRCTAGGCTGAATAAATCCCGCCGCCAACAATGTTTCCACTTGCTTCTCGATTTCAGCCTTTTGGGAATGGGGGTATCGGTACGGCCGGATATTGGGTGGTGTAGAGTTTGGAATTAGGGGAATATAATGGTTCTGTGAGCAGTTGAGAGGTAGATTCTTGGGTTCTTTGAAAACCGGGCTGTATTGATGTATCACCGACCGGAGAACATCGGGAATTTCTAGTTGAGTACCTGGTTCAACAGCCAAGTATTGAAAACTGGAGGACCTTTGCGAACCAGTAGTAATACCCTGCCATTTATAACGTTTGCCATCTACATTAAAAATAAAAAACATTTCTTTCCAATTCACTTGGACCGTATTTAGTGTTTCCAACCATTGAATACCCAAAACCAAATCTGCTCCACCAATCGAGAAGGGATAAAAATCCTAGACAACTTTAAGTTCATTGATTTGTATTGGAAGGTTTTTGCATATGTGGCCACACCTAATAAAATCTCCATTCCCAATCTGAACACCAAAAGGTGCCACTGCTTGAGTATTAAGTTGCAAATCCTTAACCAATACATCAGAGATAAAATTATGTGTAGATCCCCCATCAATCAAAATAATTACTTTCATAGATTGAAGCATACCTTGAACCTTCATGGTTCTGGGGTGGGGTTTTCCAAGGATGGCATGTAAACTGATCTCCGCAACGTCGTTAATATCTCCTGCCATATATTCAACTTCATTAGGGGACTGTTCTTCAGGCTCTTCTTCCATTTCCAACACCTTGAGAGTTCCTGTTTTACACCGATGGCCAGGCCCATACTTTTCCCCGCATCGGTAACATTCACCCTTAAGGTAACGAGACTGTCTGTCCGCATCAGAAATTCGTAAGGGTGGTTTGGGATTACTGTTGGTAGAATTCGATGTAGGAGTCGTAGCCTTGGACTCGGGTTGGGGACTTCGATGGTGCTGTCCAAGTTGATCCTCTCCCATAATGGGTGTGGTTGATTTTAGACTCGAATTCCAAAGCGATGCTTACCGCTTTATACATTGTTCGTGGTTTATGTATTCGTACATCCGCCTTCAATTCTTCTTTGAGGCCATTAAGGAACACTCCCAGGAGACAATGTTCCGGCCAATTGGACACTCGTGAGGAATGTTTGGAAAATTCTTGTCGATACTCTTGCACAGTTCCTGTTTGTTTAACACTACACAAGTATTCGTCCGGATTCTGGAATTCGGTAGGTCCAAAATTTCTCTGCAAGGCTCGAACAAAATCCTCCCACTATTCTATCGTCTGATCGGTCGATATCCATGAATAGAAGTCTAGTGCATCTCCCTCCAAGTGCATCGATGCAACATCTACCTTTTCCTCATCTGGAATGTCATAGTAGCTGAAATATTTCTCTGCCTTAAGAATCCAACCCCGTGGGTCTCCATCGCAAAAGGTAGGAAAAGCAATTTTGTTGTGTGGTCGGTACCTTTGATTATGCCAGGACGATTCCCCTTCATCTTGCTTTCCATTACCCTATCTGTCCTTATTATGCGATTGGGATTTGAGGGTTGCTACCTCCTTCTGCAACGCGTCTATGGACTTCAATTTCTTGGCGATCGCGGCTAACTGCATCGCCACCGGATCAGGCGGGTGATTTCCCTCCTCTGAATTGCTCCGGGTCTGCACCATGTCTTCGATTTCCCAGCAATGGAACCAATGATAGTAACCGGAAAAATTAAGCAGTCAAACGATTACAATTTAGATTGATAAAGCCAAATTCAAGATGGCCGGTCTCCTTTGCTAACATGAATACAACAAGTTTATTCATGACTGCCTCCTAAAAACAAAGACTGCAAATTTATTACAGACCAACGATAACTGCTCCTAGAATACAGGTTCAGAACTGCTCCCTCCCATTCAATTTTAAACATTGCATGGTTGACCCAGTGGGTCCATCCAAATTCCAAAAAGGGCATTAAATTGCTCCTGCTCATGTCCCTTGCCACGTGTTTTCTTTCTTGAATACACCTGTAGGTTCTTATCACATACACACACCAAAATAAATTTAGGCATGATCCGTATTACATACTACGGCTAAAGATGCAGTGGTAGAGCATACAAAAAACATTATATCCGAAATTTCAACTTACCACTGCATATAGTATTTTTTTCCAAATGCTATGGCTGAATCGACATCATTATTGCCAACACACCAGATCTCAGTTATTGAAGCAAGCAGATATCCAATTGAAATCCTCTGTATATTATGAATGAAAAGGTTCGATTTAGTGGCAGGTGGAGCAGTGAGGCATACAAGACAGGGCACACCAAGAAATAGTATCTTTTGGTTCTAATTCTCTACACTTTCAACCAAAGAAGAACAACTACTTGATCTAAATGCTACATGCCATTATATAAAGCTATAAATCACGTAATCAACATGTCTTCACATTCATACCATGATATCAACATCATTTACCCATAATGTCCTCGATCATTCTTTTTAAAGTTCATGGTATTCACTACTTCACTTGCATGAGAGCATGTACAAATCATAAAGAGATTAATTGTGAGCTTATGAGATGACATGAAATAATTGAAATGTCCACTTTCCATAGAATTCTGCTTTTCTGCTAGTTTGTCTATTCAAACGCAGAAAAAAACATAGGAATTTGCTAAGTATGGAAGAACACTCTTTCAAAACATAAGGTAGAGAGGCAAGAAGAAGATAAGCATGCAACATGCAAATCAAAATGCTACAAACAGCAAGGTCAGGAAATGATCATCAAGAGACTGCAGCCACGTGGATCTGCCAGGATTCTATTCAGCTGATGACAGCTCAATCTCAAAGGTGAAAACATAGAATCAAAAAAAAGGAGACTGTAATAGCAGCAAGAGACAAAGTTATAACATGACACAAACAGCAAGAAACTTTACATAAATGAAATATGACTGTAGAAATTACAGGCCAGAAGAGAGGGTAACAAACACCTAAGCAAGCCAGGAACCAGGAAGAGCCCCAAGGATGAGCTAGTCTAGGGTGTCTATATCTCTCTTTCAGGCTATTAAGTTCATCAGTAAAAATGTAGAAGCATCATCAGTCAGAGGCCTGGACTAACTACCTGTAGCACACCCATCCACCGTATCTGGTTGACATCGACTCCGTAAGTTAGATCATCCCGTCCATGGAAGTATCCACCTAGAGGGACATACAAGCAATGAGATTCTGGTCCAAAATAGTATATACCTAGAAATGAAGTAATGTCCAAGGACCTGAATACATTTCAAAGTTTCCACATCATTAATCATGTTGAAAATACATCAAATTCAGAAACGACTCAACATGCTAGGTTGCTCACTTATCCCAATTTGTGCGGATCTATGTCTGAACTAGCTTTCTACCCTAACAGGATCCAAAATGACCTTAGGAACCATCATCCAGAAAACTGTAGTATTTGTAATCTGTAGTATCAATTTACACCATCATGCTTTCAACACATAAAAGAGAGAAGAAAATTACCTTGCAGAATCAAACCAAAAAGAAAGAGCTTGATAGTTCTGAGTACAACTTTCTTGGTTGCTGCTGGTTTGCTAGAAACTTTCTGCGTTGCAGTAGTAAGTATTAATAACGACCAGACTGATGCTGGTAGTTCGATTATAGATTCGTAAGTTACTACTACTAGAATCCATTAACCATGTTCAATATTTTGACAAAATATAATCAAATCAAATCATGTACTGATAGTAAGCATACATACCTTGAATACAAGACTCACAGAAATTCCAACACTAAACAAGAAAAACGGCATCACGAAGTCCGCAAGTGTAACACCAAACCATGGAGAATGGTTTATCGAAGGGAAAGCTCCTCCGGCATCATCAACCAAGATCATCAACTGTCAAGTAAATGGCACAAAATAAGATTTTATCATCCATACACGGATAAATTAGTAGAAAGCAAGTGATAGTGGAGCTATGACAACTAAATTAGGGAGTATACTCACGGCGACGGTGAGACCACGGAAAACGTCGAGAGAGACAAGGCGTTGTTTCATACCGGTAGAATTAGCAGGTCTAGTTGCAGAAGAAGGTCCATCTTCAACGTCCGGTAACGGTGAAGCAGAAGAGGTGATCTCGCCGGCATGGTGGGACGAATTCTGAAGAAGGGGACTCCGTTCATCCGTCTCCGTTACCACCATCATTGATGACATATTTCCCGAGTCAAAACCTTGTTTCTTCCTTCCTTCCTTCCTTCCTAAATACAGGGGAGATGCCGAATTGCAAAATTTGACCCCTGGACTATTTTAGAATCTGCAATTTTAGTCCTCTAACTTTTAAGCATGTTTCAATCCTTAATTACAAACCGGAAAATTGACTTAAATAGCATATAGAGTTTCACTTTTTACCCAAATTCCCTTTTTCTCAATCTTGTACACATAATCCTTATGTAATAATAAGGATTCTTATTTTTTATATTTATTTTTTGCCAAAAAAACCAATCCTTACACATGCCTATTTATGGCCCAAATAGGCCATCTGCAAAAGTTTCGGTGAAAAAGTGAAACCACTCGTTAGCTTTTAATATTTATGTAAATTTTTCTTACAAAATCCACTTGAACATGTTTGGTTTACGGGAAATGAAATGAATACCGATTCACATAATATAACCCCAAAAATGTAAAGAAATAATGACTAAAAATGTATCAAATATCATACATTTGATACAATTAGGATCCCAACAAATTCAAAAAAGCTTGAGACGTCCTGATGCATCGATAAGCTGTTGGATTTCGTGAGCAGCAGAAGTCAAAGTAGTAGCACCCTTGCAGAAAGCAAAACGGATGTATCGATTATGGTATTGGTAGCTACCTACATTCTCACGAGAATAATGGCTCCTATGGAAAAACCCACATCCAGGAACAGCAACAACTCCGGCTTGTTTTATTAATTCCTCCACAAATTCAACCTGAAAAATGCATCCAAAATCTAGCATCTGATCCGATACGTTAAAAAAAAGTAACATGAAATGGATTTCAAGAAGCACATACATCGTTGAGTTTGCAAGTCTCGGGAATCGCTGCAAATATGAAAAACGAACCCTTGGGCATAAACTGAACCTCGAAACCCACCTCCGAAAGCAACTTAAAGACGAAATCTCTTTTTGATTCGTAATCCTAAGTATTGATGCACCAATTGCCAGAAGAAGTTATCAGTCAGGATCAACGATATTAGCACCTAAATTGTTTGTTCTTTGTAAAATCCTTACTTTTCTCAACGATTTGTAGTATTCTTGGGGACTTGTTAATGCAGTCAAAGCAGCTTCCTGAAACGGTGCAGGAGCAGAATCTGTAACTTTGGTATGAATGCTCCTGATCGCTGATGCAATACAAGATGGACCTATAGCCCACCCAACCCTCCAGCCTGATGCACAAAAGATAACTAATTAGACCTGATAACCACATCCAAATTTTATATAGTTGGGGTGTGTTTGGCACGTAGACGGGACTGGACTAGACAGACGAGAGTAAGGCGAGCAAGTGAAAGAATTGCGGATGGTTTTAGATTTTTAATTTTGACATGAGTAATTTACCAATCCTGTTGCATCTCCCGGATTTTTTAATCCTGTCTAGTCTCACCCTTGGGGGGAATTTTGTTCATATAATGGAATTTGGTGGAATTGGACTCCATCGATGGAATTTGACTTTGATGGTGGGAAGGTTAGGGATAGGGGGTGACAATAGGAGCATGGTTGTGGTGGGGGCAGGGGCCGGGCGGTGTTGGTTAAATTGGATGCAAAGGGATGAAATCCAATTCCTTCACTTATGTCAAGGAATGATAGAATTCGTTAATTTGTGGAATTCAAAGGAATTTCAAGAAGTGAACCAAACAAAGGAATTGGAATTTGGTCAAAGGAATTGATCATTCCAATTCCCTTGAAATCCCATGGATTATATGAACCAAACAGCACCTATGAATCAAAATAAGTCGAACAAATGGCAAAAACAATACAAGTTTGAACTTTGAAGAAAATATAAAGCATTACTGTACCAGTGACACTATAAGTTTTAGACAAGGAAGACGTGATGATGGTCCGCTTTTGCATTCCTGGGAGCGATGCAAGGCTTATATGTGATTCACTGTCGTATGTTACATGTTCATAAACCTGCACAAATATTTTGGAATGATAGAAAAATGTTTGCAAATAACAGATCATAAAGGCCACAATAGAAACAATTGGAGATAATAATTAACTTGTAAGGTTATCATACTTCATCAGTAATGGCTATGCAATCCTTTGTTCTGCAATATTCAGCAATAATCTCTAGCTCGTCCATGTTGAATACTTTTCCGGTTGGGTTGTGAGGACTGTGCAACAACTGCAAATGTATAAAAAGAAGATATACCTACTTCACAGACATATTACTCAACCCGTCTCGTAAAATAGCAATTTTCTTTTAACAATTGGTCAAAGTCTATAGAACCATCCCGCCATGTAGGGAGTGTTTGTGGACTAAAATCAACAGCATCTGGTAATGATGTCAATGGGCAACTGGATAATTCAAGGTTGGAATTTGCCAAAAAGGAAACAGATGCAATTTTCATGAGCCATCTCAAAATGGAAATATTCGTAATTTTCATGAGACAGGCCAGCAGTGTTCATATGGATGGGAACTGTCGCTCTTTATTGATAACCATTTATGACAGTTGTAAGGATTGAAGCTTGATTGAGAACCAGTTTGAAAATATGAACAACACGATTGAGCCAAAGTTTGACTTGACCATGAGACAGAACTAGTCTCTACAGTAATACACAATTATACAAATGTATATGGAAAACCCCCAAAAAAATGAAAAACTTACACCCTGATAACCATTCATTTGAACGGTATGCACATGTGCATACAAGTAATTGGAGTTGTTTCTTGGTTTTTATGCATGTCATGCACAGGTGCATATCGTACAAATTGCTTACAAATTATTTGTATGCACATGTGCATACCATCCAAATGCAGTTACCAGGGTGTTCCTCAGTTTTTCATTTTTTTGTGATTTTCCCCTAAACCTGACCCTATATGTATACACACACACACGCACATATATAGCTAACTGTTGTATACAATTCCAAATTCAGAAGCATATACCTATTCAGTACTAAAGCTTTTGTCTTGGCAGTAAAAACACCCAAAAGTTTGACCTGATCAAGTGTCCAGCATGGTGGCTCAAGGGCTACATACACCTATGATTCTCCCATACAAGATGATCCATTAGTTCAAAACTACAAAATTGTTTCTCTGAATATGACTCAGATTGTATGCACTTACAGGGACTCCTCCAGCCATTAAAATACATGTTTCATATGTTTCAAAAGAAGGATCGAACAGTATTACTTCATCACCAGGGTTAAGTACTGCACAGCCAAACATAAGCCGTTAACATTTACTAGTGTTTCTGAGTAAAAATGGATAAGAAAAGGTGGCAGTAAGGAGAGGAAGACATGCTTGCAAACATTGTAGCAGCAAATGCCTCAGTCTGGCCACAGCAAATGGCAATATCTGTTAAAGGATCAACATCTAAGCCATGCATTTGCTTCATCTTATCAGCAAGCAGATCACAGATCCCCTGAACATGCCTTCAGAAACAAATTTTCAAGACAATGTAAGTTTATATTCTAAATTGCTGGAGACAGTCTGCATGCAACTCAGAGTACAATATTGGCCCCAAACGTTACAAAGATTAAGGAAATATGGATTCCATCTATGCTGTGAAATTGGGAGGTTTGAGTTGGCATATAATAAGAAATTTGTTTAGTTGGTTGTCAAATATCAAGAATAGCATCAAGATAGACAATCAAGAAATCTTGAGATCCCTAAATCAAGACCATTTAAGATTAATTTGTTTCCATGAGAAGTCCAGGAAGAAGATTGCTGCAACATTCATGGGCCATTGTATATGCTAATGATAGGTGTGCTAACTGTGTCTCTTGACACTAAATTTCAATCCAAATCACTTAATTGTCTTCTGCCATTCGCTACAAATCATGGTACAATAATTTACTGGCATTTATTACCAAGTCAGCTAAGCAGAAACGTTGCAATTTTCATGAATTCGAATGGGTATGGTTAATTGTTAATGTGCTACAGAAGATGGCCTTTTTCAATTGCAATGGTTTGTAGCATCGATTGTATCAACTGTTTTCCAAAAACCGAATGAGGCCAAGTTTTGCAGCACAGATTCTGCCTAGATAACACCATTCTGTCCATTAATGGTCAAAGAATTTTAACAAATAAGCATCACGGACTTCGTTGCTGGTTGCAGATTCCAAATCTAAGAAACTGCCGATTGAAATAGGGTTCCAACAAACAGAACCTGTATTGGTTAAAGTCGGAGGTGATGGCGGAGACGGCAGCGGCCTTTACATGGGGAGGTGCCGGAAAATCAGGGAAGCCTTCGGCAAGGTTGAGGGCGTTGGTTCGCTCAGCAAGATACGACAATTGTTGGATGGGTGAAGGTTTCAGGGCCTTAGCTACGGACGATAGCTTTTTCTCCATTATCTCATCCTAGAAAAGAAGTACAGGAAAGCAAGACAAGCAACAAATATAGATTTACATTTAACCCATAACCACTTTCATTAATATCAACAGATATTTCTTAGTTAACCTCAACCCTCTCTCTCTCTCTCTCTTGAATTCATATACTTGTTTTAAATATTTTGATTCTACTTCTTGGAGCATATATACACTTTGTCTGTTGCTGTTTTTTAATCAAAACAAATAATTAAGACATTCTCAAGTGAACCATCAACTACTTGATGGTTGGTTTGGTGGAAAAAAGAAAACGATAAGCTGCTTTTCAAACCATAGTAGTTTTGTTTTATTGTACACTAAACTGCTAAGTAACATCTTAGGCTAACCGTACTTGGACTCACCGTTTTTAAACGCGTTTAATAGTAGTAACCAATGTGGAATCTTACAATCCACCCCCTCCCCCATAGGAGCCCAACATCCTCACTGACATACCAGTCTCTGACACTATTTGTAACATCTCATGCTACAAAACTTATTTAAAATCATAAATTTTCATAGAACTGTGTTCCCTACGAATTCAAAGAAGCTTGAGGCACCAGGTGCAGGAGTGGTGCTTGTGAACAGCAAAAGTCAAAAGTAGTATCACCAACTAGCTACATTATCCAAAGAATAGTGGCTTCTATGCAAAAAGTTATATCCAAAAAGAGTGACTAATTCATATAAAAAATCAACTTTAAATAATAAAAATCCATTATATTTTGGGTATATGCTCCTAGAACATAAAATGGATATATATATATATATATATATATATATATAGAGAGAGAGAGAGAGAGAGAGAGACACATGTATCATATAGTTTCCAACTCCAAGGAAACTAATGCAAATATGGAGATCGAACCCTTAGGTAGAAGATCAAAGATATAAAAACACATATTTAAAAGCATTATTGAAGCATATGTATGTATTAAAAGGTGTATCGATTTTGTTATAGTTTTCAATATTTGAGACTTGATATCGTTACAAGATCACTCAAAATTCTAAAAAAATCGATTCGAATTTCATAAATAAATGTAGTTGATTAAATATTATATGTTATGATGATTAAAAAAATGGGTCAATGATGAGGTGGGAATTATCAATTATTAGTGGGGGGGTGTAATTAACCACTGGTTACTTGTGATTTCGTCTTTTTGGGGATAAAAGATTTATAATATTTGGTGGGAGAAACACATATGTTGAGGGGATTGGTGTCGTTTACTACCAACTACTACAACAATCTCCGGATTTTGTCGTTCCTCCCAAACTTTTTTCCTTTTATATATATATATATATATATATATTTTTTTTCTTTTAACCAACAATATGGTGATATATATATATATATATATATAGCTGTAGCTTTAAATGAGAAACGAAGATCTAAGAACAGTCTTATTACATATGATAATATATGTGAAGAGATCTAATGGTATGCAGATGACTTGGCTTGCGTCCTAGGTTGCACCAAAGGTTGTATGCGTCTTTGATTCAATATTACATGTAATGGATTATAGTGTCCTATCAAGAATATCTTTATCACATTTGATAATACATGTGAAGGGGTCTACTAATTTACGGGTGATTTGGCCCACAACCTATGTCATGACAAAGATCGTTTTGTGTCTATAATTTAGTATCACATGTGATTCACTATAGTAGAAAGAGTGTTATTGTGTTTTTATAAAATGAAGACGTTCTCATTTGAACCTCTCCCTATATATGTATGTTTGCTTAAGTATGATAATCAAAATTACGTGTATTTGTTTCGATATTAATTTGGAAAAATGTTTTGAAAGAGTTGGATTCCGTAAGAAATAGAGTTAATGTGAGAAACGTGAGAAGGGTTTCCCACCTTTAGATGCATATTAGAATGATTAAAAATCCTTTTTTTATATTTCTCATCTTAACTCTCATTCCACACAATCCTTCGTCTACTTTCAAATGTTTCAAAAAGATAAACTATAATAAGTTAAATCTTGTGTTCACAAAGTCATGATATGTTATTATGACGAAGAATCGTGTGAGAATATAAATTAATGCGAGAAGTATATGAAATGATTTGGACCCTTGATCATTTTTAATGGGTTTAAAAGAAAATCAATGCATCTCATTAACATTTGATATCCAACTTTGTTATTATAATATAATAAAAAGTTTGTACCATCACATTTATTATTTTCTTTATCAACAAATTGTATAACTTTATTTAAAAAGAAACAAACAAAAAGTAAGTCGAATGTAGTTGTGATCAAATTATCTAAAGAAAACAATTCATATTTATATTTTTGGTTTTTAGATAATCTCAGGGGTACCTTGGTAATTAAGCCCAAAATATAGAGGTGGCTAGGGTTTATATTATACCCCGCCGACCGACCAGCGCCTCTCCCTCCCTCTTCCCCAAATTTCAATTTTCCCTTTTTAATTTTTAATTTTTAATTTTCAATTTCATTTTTTCATGTCTTGTTGAGTCAAAGTCTTAACTTAAAGGCTGCACACACAACGGCCATCAATAACCTTCGTCCTGTATCATCACTCACACACACTGATATGCTCGCCATTATCGGACACAGATTTTGATCCCGAAAAGCGTTTGTTGCCATCATCATCGTCATGGATCTGAAAGATAAGGTACCACACATCCCGCAAATCGATCTCTTCTTTCCTTTTTCTTTGTAATTTCAACGAATCTGAACCACTCCAAATCCAACTATTTTGCAGAGCTCAGTTGTTGCACAAGAAGAAGAAGAAATAATAACGGAGAGTGGCAGCAGTGCGTTAATATCGTCAAACCAGACGAAATGCTGTACCGATTGTCACACCACTAGAACTCCTCTCTGGAGAGGCGGTCCTGCTGGTCCCAAGGTAGGCTCCGAATTTGGATTTTGCAATGATATGATCGATTTATTGTAAATTGTTCTGAGTTTTGGTGATTTTTGATTTTTGTGGCAAAGTCTCTTTGCAATGCGTGTGGGATCAAATACAACAAGAAGAGAAGAGCGGTGATGGTCGGATTTGATAAAAACGGAAGAAGAACATCCAAGAGTGCGAAAAGAAAAGGAGATTTGAAGATGAAGATGAAGATGAAGATGAGATTGATGATGATTAATAAAAAACAAGAACAGAGAAAGAGATCATCGTATGAAAGAGGTAAGCCATGGTGGAACAAGCTACGGGAAGAAGAACAAGCAGCCATATTATTAATGGCGATCTCTTGTGGTGGATCTCTGTATTCATGATTGATGTTTGAATTTGGGGGAAATTGGAGAACCCTAACTAATCATCCTGTGCCCTAACCCTAGTGTAAAAGGGGCAAAATTTCCAACCTCTTCAACTTATTGTACTACTAACTACCTTTACCTTCAATCGGTTCATCATTTTCACTTTCACTTTCACTGCAATCTAATCTAGCTAACAATGTTTTTATGACATCCTTTTCTGTTTATGACAACCCAACCGTGAGATCTTAATTTACAATAAAATTAGATAAACATGATTCATAAGTTATTTTTTTATTAAAAAGCACAAGAAGAATATATAAACTACCATACGTACTTTACCACTCATGAGGTTGTAATTTACAAAGAGGTCAATCATAACAGATATTGTTCACTTTGTCTTCGTTTGACTTGTGGTCTTTAAAATAGAAGAGATATTCCGTCTCTTATTTAATTCCCTTTTCAACGTAGATGGGATCTTACATTTACACCACCGACGGACTAATCTTTCGAACGGTTTGGAATTATCAACAACCATAAACTTTGGTTATGGTTATGATTACGTTATTGATATGTGGTCTTGTTAAAACACATGACCAAAAAATAAAGTTTTAATCGAAGTTGTACCTTGTTACCATCATTTCATTTTAAAGGTGTCACCTTAAGCCTACAAGTAGCATTTCATTTTAAAGGTGTCACCTTAAGCCTACAAGTAACATTTCATTTTAAAGGTGTCACCTTAAGCCTACAAGCAGCAACCAATAAAATAAATGAATGTTGGTTTAGTGGTATCTCGGTTATTTTTAAGGACGATGATTAAATGTTGAAACCTCAAAATATAGATAAAGTGTTTGTGATGTTAAACATCCAATAAAGTGGGAGTGAAAAGACACTTTTGATATTATTCTCTCTTAAAAAAAAGTCAATCCCTTATTATTTGTAGAATAGTTGTACCTTTTCTTTTATCTATGAACAAGTTCACATTTGTTCTCTAAATTACATATTTTGAACAAGTTTTTCGTTTAATAAAAAATTATTGTGTCTCAGAATAATTTCAATTCAACAATTTAAGGAGCAACTCAAAATTTACCGGTTAAAAAATCCCTCTTTGCTTTGCAGTTGCACAAACAATTTGATGGATTGGGCTTGGGCCATAGCAGCCATTTCCTTTCCATTATTGTTTGTGGATTTGGGCTTTGGCTACAGCCCACCAATCCAAAAACCAAAAAGGTGTTTTCTTCATTCTTTACATAAAATAGTTAATTAGTTATATCATACCAAATACAGTTCAACATAATTTTAGTTAACTCTCTCTCTCTCTCTCTCTCTTTTTATATTTATATATATACATCAACAAAAACATGTAATTATATAACACAAAGTTGTTTTGAACCCTACCATAAGCATATATTATTTCTCCATGGAACAAATACAATAATGAATCGATAGATTCTAAGTAAGTGTGATGACGGGAAAAGATTGTTGAAAACGCAAGTAGTCATGTGCTCGAAAGGTCAATAAAACCCCAAAATAGATTCTAAATGAGAAAGCGTGACCTTGCTTTTGTCATACCAAAAAAGGTAAAAGAAAAATTGGGAACACCCTATCCCTATCTTTCTATTTTGTAACTAAGAAGACAGAAAACATTTCCACATAGCAGAAAACCAAAACAAGATTTCAAGACATGTTCTTCTTAAAGAATGATTATTATACACAAGAGATTGAATGAAATAAGAAAGAGTGGGTTTTGGAATGAGTTGCTAAACAATTATATATACTTTTTGTTGCAAAGGTAACACAAAAAAGAGAATAAAATTGATTGCCACTTTATTATGCTTTTGACAACTTGTCATTTACATTTTCTTTGGGAATAATTATATTTATATTTATATTTCCATAATCCATTCATTTTTTAATCTAATAAACAAACATTTATTACAATCACCAAAAAGATTTGATGGTAAGTTGTCAAAAATAATTCACAATTGATTTTAAGAAATGTTCATTTGTTGTATATACACAAAAAAGAAGGAAGAGAAATGCATAGGAATAGGAATAGGATGTAAACCAATTACGTATTTACTACTATATTTAGATTTAGATTTAGATTTAGATAGATGACAATTATATTTAAATACCATAAAATTGAACCCAAACCCTATTTTTAGAGTTGAAAATCAATTCCAAAATTGACGTGATCATATTCATTAGCTAACAAATACTTAAATCTATTCCAACAAAAACATTAATTCAATGAATCATACACATGATGAACCAAACCACAACATAGCCTAACCAAGAATTTACCCATTATTCTAAAACTAATCGTCATAATCCTCACCCACACTTGATGTTTGACTATCGAACTGAAAATGTCACAAGTAAGATTAGAAATGCAAATGGAACGCTGTTTTTTACGATGTAATCTCTTCTCAGACCAACAACAAGAGGAAGATAAGAAAGTAAAAGGGGAAAACCATGTGAAAACAGTTTATCTGTAATTGAAGCGACAATGAATTTTGGCCAGGAGGCGGTGGATTATAATAATAGAATGGAAAGTAAGGGAGAATCGGATTTGGAGGAGGCGGAGTAGTGTAGCCATAGCCACCGGCGGGAGTTGCTGGCGGTGGCGGAGGGGAATAATAGGGAACAAAAGAAGGAGAATTGCCACCGGAGCTTGGCGGCGGAGAAGGTGGTGGGGGGCACTTCGTATCGCTTGGTACTGGCGGCGGTGGCGATGGCAACGGAGGAGAAAGTTGGCAAGGGTTTTCGCATTCATCGCACATAGTACATGAGGCTTCATCTCTGGAATAGGAGGCGATCCTTGCGGTGGCGGGCGGGGGAAAATTGGTGGTTCCGGCGATGATTAAAAGAGTGAGAATGAAAGAGAAAGGAGAAAATTCCGCCATTGGTGGTTAGCAAATAGCAATGGGGATTTGAAAAATGCAAGGAGGGATGGAGTTTATAGGGAGAGGGAGGGGAAGCTAAAAGTTGTGTTCATTGGCTCATTCATTTATGGTAAGGATCAATTTCATTATTACGGATCTTAATCCAACTTATCTCGTAACATTTTAATTGGGTAAAAAGTTGATTAGGGTCCGGTCCCATATAAAACTTATTTTCAAGAACATCAATGTAAGAAGCCATTTTTCAGCTCACTCGGCATTTAAGGCTAGCAAAAAGACCCGGATCAAGGCATGTCGTTACAAAATGGGTTTCTTATATTGGTTTTTAATTATTGTAGGGATTTAAATATGAAGGAAAAAAAAACATGCTTCAATTCATTACCTCACTCGTAAGTAAGAGTTCCCTACAAATGACTTACATTATTTTATTATGTCTAATGTTAATTTTGGTTTATTGACAAGTATATTTTAAATAGTGTATACTTGTTAAATAAGGAGCATGAGTGGGGTGAAAATAAGTATGCTAAATGCATCTCTACTTACTAATTTTTATCTCACACTTATTAATATCAATACATATTTTTTACATTTTTAATGTATGACTTGATTTGATTTTAACAATATATATATATATATATATATATATAATAACCCTAATTTATATGAATTTCACTACCTACATTAATATAAATATAAATGTAAATCGTAAAATTAGAAATACTTTAATAGGTTAAAATATTTAATAAAATGACAATAAATATAAAAAAGTTACAATAGTAAACAAAAAATAAATGAAAATAGAAAGCAGAGTCACAAATTTCAACCTGTTTACATGGACTTTTGAAAGTCAAACTTTATTCTAAACATATTTGTTAATTGAGTATGCCTCAAGCAATGCTTGCTTTTGCTTTTTTTTTTCTTTCGAAAATAGAAAATATCAACTACTTTTAATATTAATTAAGAGGGTATTCGTATAATATATTCAGATCAATTTCAATTTTAATGTTTAGTTTTAATTTTGTCTCTATCGATATAATACGATTTTATGTGGTTTTAAGAAAACGATAATATTTTTATTTTTGAATGAAATATAAATTTGAAAGATAATGGTTTCCTTTTTTTTTCTTCATAAAAGTAATAAATTTATCGTAATTTGTGTTTAAGGAGATGAATATGAAGGATTTATGTACATACATTTCCATATGTAATACTTATTGGCATGTTTGATTCAGGTTGAGAAATAAAGATGAAAATGGAAATGACTTTTCAATCACATAAGTTTAGCCTTAGAATTGAAAATCTAAACTTATAAGATATTACATAAAACTAAACACCCCCTTCGTAATATATCATTACACTTGGTTTGGTTTGGTTTGGTTTTGTTTTGTTCCACATTGAAAACTCAATTTCACCAAACACATGCAAACATTATGGTTTTGTAATGTAGTTTCAACATCAACTTTTTGTGTCTATTTTCAAATTGAAAAATAAATTAAAAATCATCATGTCTCCAATGATGGATTTTATGTCCCGTGATGAATCCAAAGACATAAAGGACAACTCTCATTGTGTTTCTCCATACTTCAAGTTGAATCATACAATCGATCACAGTGTGTGTGTGTGTGTTTTATAAGTCAAGTTCTCTTGATCTTCTCCTTTTGGTTTTTTCTTTGTATGTATTGGCATATCTAGAAGGATTAAAACTAAGCTTTACTTTCATTGATGTTGTGTTCTTGAGTCATTTTTTCCAAGGAAAGGGACAAAAAGGATGGAGGAAATAAAAAATCTTGTGTTCTCAAGTTTTTAGAAGGAAAACAAGGCCATTCCAAAACTTTAATCCCAAATATGGGAGGAAATGAAAGAAAACAAATATATAAAATTGTAAAATAAATAAGAGTGTATTTGTAAAATTGACATCTTTTTTTATTATTCGTTATCAATAACACAAATACTAAATTTTCTTTTACTTGCTTCTTAAATTAAATTGGAGAAGAAGCATGGTATTACATTTATAGGATGGAAAAGTTAGAACAAAAATTCTCAAAATTAATTACCACTTTCACAAATGCTCAAAATAGACCCTAAGCTAAATGTGGTGTTGTTTTGTTGTGATGGGCTTGGGCCCCACAATCCTAAATGGACCTTAGCTACCATAATTAAGAGCTAAGACCACCTCCAATGATTTGGATTTTGGACCTTGGTTTCAAAATTATGAATGATGGCCATGGCCATTTTATCCTTAGGGTACTAGGCTCGTTTAACAAGTCGTTTTGTACTGCTTAGTAACACAAGTTCTTTACATTTCAAGTTCACAAATAATTAATGTATGTGTATTTCATCCCAATGTATTCAATTCCCAATGTCTTCGTATTTCATCCTCATCCATATCCCTTTCTCGCTTACCATCTTTCCTTTTCATTTTTATTGTGTGGTTATGTTGGACGAAGAAATGAGGATAAAATTGTGTTTTCTGCAACAAAGCTTTGAAGCTCAATGGGACTGCATAGTGTATATGACGAGTTTGCGTGTTCCGTGGCATTTTAAATTTTGCATTGTATGGCCGATTGGCTCATCATTATTTTGGTCTTCTTCCCGTTACTGCTGTAACATCGATTATGAACATCCCTTTTCCACTTAATTTTCATTTGGGTCTGACACACAAGCTTTTATTGATCTGGAGATGGTAGTATCTTCGTTGAGCTTCATGCATCAATGAGCAACTTTAGTTCACCAAGTAATATTTGATGAAAAGATTATTGATCGTGTAGGTGTAGGTGTAGGTGTAGGTTTTTGATTGTTGAATTAATAATCTAAGCTACGTTGAAGTGTCTTCTTTTGAATTTCATTTATTATTATCTCATGCATCTTAACAATATATATTTTTTCTTTCTTCAAGTGGATAAACTTTAAATATATACATATACTACTTTTGTCATTGAAGATGTCTCTATCTGTCTATCCTTGTATTCACATTTCAACAAATTAGTTTCCACTTTGAAACACAAATAAGTATGTGTGCTGCTTTAATTCACCGTGTCCTTGAATACCCATATGTATAGATATCATCATTCATCTTTTTTTTTTTTTTGAAACTGGTTCTCGTTTCATTCCTCTGGTTTTAGCCGAATCTTAAGGCTCATGAGGAATCTAAAGTTTGCATTTGTACTTTTAGCCGAACAAAAATGAAAATGTTTCAGTACTTTTAGCTTAAGGATGCAGTGTATATTGTATACCCACTATTACTTATTATTTTTGTTTTTTTCTAATACATCGATATTTGCATGCATCGCATGGAAGATTGTTCGAGTTTCAGTGAATAGGATGTTTTGTATAAACTCTATAAAGCTAAAAAGATCCAAGATATGTCAATTTCATGGTTCTAAAAGTTGGGAAACTTGCACACGACATTATGAACATTGCAATCAGGGTCTTTCCTTTCCTTAGGGAGGGCGGACAAGAAATAGAAGCCTATTTTATTTTTTGGTATATAGTATATAGTGGTAGTTAAAAAAATTAATAAATTAAATAGACAAATTCATTTAGTATATAATATGATTCAAAAAGAATTTAATATCATATTAAAGGCCCAGACATGTATTAATTAATTACATTAGAGAATATAATATGTAAAAGAATTATTTCTCTTGGTTTCTATCTACAACTAAAATCTAAAACTATCTTAGCTTGAAAACATTGATATATTATCCATCATTTATCACCCACCCACTCTTTTGATTATTCCATTCGCAATAATTCAGTTTTTGTATTAGAATATATTAGATTTCTTGTTATTAACTAAGAAAACTCATACCTTTTGAAAATAATTCAACTTATATTTGTATTTAGGATTTTAAAACTACCTTGTTTTTTCATACATTATTGACTTCTTATTACCTAAGATTAAATTCATAAATTTTTAAGTACTTTCGTATCTCTAAAACAACAATACATCTCAAACTATAATCAATATGGACTTTTGATCCTAAAATTGATGGTTCCCTAAAATTTTTGTTTTAACTCTAAAAGTTTAAAATAGTGATAAAAACATTAACATGATATGACATGGAAAATCAACTGATTCATATTGATACATAAAGTGTTACTCTGAATAGTCAACATTGTAACCTCATATGATGTCAATCTATATGTTAAAGGTATATGATAGAATGTGTTTGGTAGTGGAACGAATTTACCATGCCATGAGAAAATCATATGATATCAATATTAATTTAGAAATAATTATTGATTGATTTTGCATTTACGAATACTCAGAAAAACGGTTGTATATGAACTATAAATATTTTTTGAATTCAATGTTATTTCTGATGATAAAAACAATATATTGAAAAAATCGTACTTGTCAAAGGCACCCTTTTACATCTCACACAATGCCTATAAATGTTAGGAACGGGTCTGATTACAATTTGCAATAGACCAAACACAACACCCTAACCATCGTCTTTGGCATATGCCCCATAAGTCTTGCAAGAACATCACAATAAGATGTCATACAAAAGACACCTACAAATGAAGCACTAAAATAAGGGACGTTCCAGTCTTTTTGGAGATACTATTACACCTAAAGCTTTTGATGACACTGCAAAATGAGATAACAAAGATACATATATACAAATTACATATGTGATGATAAAATGTATTACGTTTGTCTTCTGATAGAAATTAGAGAGGCACTGAGGTAGACTATACTCTTTACATTCGTATATAAAAGACCTTAAACAAAAAAATTGGTGTTCAGAATCACACATTTAATATATATGGTGTGGTGGTGGGGGTTAGGTTATGAGCGTGACAATAACGGTGCGGTGGTGGGGGTTAGGTTATGAGCGTGACAATAACGGTAGTAGCATGGTTGTAGTAGGGATGTGCAGTGAGTGACTAAGGAGTAGGTGGGTGGGTGTGAGGAAAACAGTAGTGACATGGTGGTTAGTGGTGGGATAGGGTGGGTGGGTGGCGGCGACATAAATTATGGGAGGTTAGGGGTGGGACATGATGAACAATGGTAGCATGGTCGTGGTTGATGGTGATGGAATTCAATTACTTCTATTATGTTAAGAAATGGTGAATTCATTAGTTTGTGGAATTTAAAGAACTCCATTCATTTCAAGAAATGAACCAAACAAAAGAATTGTAATTTGATCAAAGAAATTTGACATTCCAATTTCATCATATTCACGTAAACCAAACGAGAATTATATTTTATATGTCAATATCCAAAAAGTAATTGAAAATTAAATTGTGTATATATCATTATTATATCGATGCAATGTAAGATGGATGAGTGAGTGGTCTTTGTCGTTGTTTACGTGTTGCATCAACGAATACCAACACTAATAAATGATATGCATATCTCTCTCTCTCTCTCTCTCTCTCTCTCTCTCTCTATATATATATATATATATATGTATATGCATTAAATTCTATATCTGCAACCTTCGTACTCACTTCTCATTATTATTATTATTATTATTTATTAACTTGGATATCCAACTTGCTGTTCGAACCGATTAATTCTAGGATGACCACTTGTTTTGCAGATAGCCTGGAATTATCGCATTGGAATCTCCGTGGTCACAAAAGAATTTTTATTTCTCTTTGGATTTGAACCTGAGACCTCTTGATACTTTTAACCTTTAAAGCCAAGCACAAACCAATCAGATATCACACTTGTGGTTCATTATTATTATTATTAAAATAGAATTACACTGTGATCCTTATAGTTTACTTATATTTTGAATTTGGTTTTTATAATAAATTATCTATGTTATGATTCTTAATTTTTTAATTTCACATCATCGGTTAGTAACTGTAAAAGACAAATTAGTATTTGAGAAAACCATAGGGATCAAAAATATAATTCATTCTAAAATTATTTTCGCTTATATTTTTTGAATTTCTTTATCAGAAATATTTTATGTACTGTTAACAAAATAATGTTTTGATTTTTATATCAAATTTAATTGCTATAACTCATTCACAGTTATTTAATAATATCTCAAAACATTTTAATTTTCAATACATAATTACTTTTTTAATCACAAACGAACAAATTTTTATATATAATTATTCTATGTTAATCGTACTTAATTTTTTTGTTGAAAAATATATACATATCAAAATTAATTTTAGGAATTACACTTTTGGCCCTTGTATTTTTCCCAAAAACTGGTTATCCCTCTTAAAAGTTGTTAATAGACGGTGTTAACTTTATTTACCTTGAATGTTAAGAAACAAAAAGTTAAGAGACCTTCAATTTAGATAGTTTATGTTAAGGACCAAATCCAGAACTGAAATAAAATACAGGACCCGCTAGTGTAATTCATTTTTATTATTATATTTTTTTAAGCATTATAATTATAATTATTATTTTATGCCATCTTCCTAACAATCTTCATGCATATATATATATATATATATATATATATATATATATAATAAAATATTCCACAATTTCCGTTTTTTCTAAATTCGTTTTTCGCTTCCATACCATTTAATTATCCACATAACCCAATCCACCATTTGGATGGAAGTTGACCCAACTCTATCATTAAAATTTTTGTTTTCTTCCATCTTAACCAATTTTTAATAACATTGGGTTTTAGGTTAGTTTATGTAAACCGACTAATTGTTAAGGTGATCATGAATAGCCTCAAGTAATCATAGGTGAATCTCAATGACAACCAGGGTTTTAACCGTTAACAACACCTTAGATTCAAACCGGGTTGGGTTAGATTAGATTTTCTAGTACATCCCTCTAAAGCTTAATCATTCTCAATAATATTTAATCTTACAAATTCTTGTTATTATTAATAATATGTTTTTAAAAGGTATGAAGTTGTTATACTAGAATTACACAAACAAAATTCGGATATCACATGGAAAAATGTAACTATAAGTTTGTTAGACCGAAAAAGGGTTTGGCATCCATGATGGAACAAAAAAACCCGTATGTAGATAATAATTTATGTGGAAGTGAACAAATTGACACATAACTACTATCTATATAAACAATTAGAACAAATGAGTAATTGTAACATCCCAAAGCTCAAAGAACCACGTTGATTTAATAATTTCGAATTTAATTAAAAATCATGATGAAAGTTAATGATATCTTACAACTTGAAGTTTAGAATAAGCTTACAAATCTTATTTTTTGTCCATACGAAACCGGTTATTTATAAACATGTCATATGTCAAATTTCAAGGTAGATCTTTATCTCATTAAGAAAGATAAAACGACTTTGAAAATAAAGAATAATTGAAAAGATAAAGATTAGTTGTTTTTGATTCTTTTTGTTTAAAGAATAAATAAAAAAAATATTTATTACATAAACGAGAACATGGTAGGGGAGTTTGGGTCGTCATTTTCATGAGTCACCATCTTATATGACAAATGATCGTATTCCTATTTTTAAGATTCAATGTTATTGTTATTTCTATATATTTTATTGATTTTTTTAAATAAATAAAAAAAACCCTTAATATCTTCACCAGATTCATTATAGAAATGAAAATTAAGTTTTTAAAGGTTTTTAGGTGAAATTAAAATATATTTTTTTCGAAAACAACCAATGAATTTTCTTTGAAGGCAATAGATATTTAAAATTTATTGTCATATTAGTATTATAATATATAGATAATACTAAAACTTTCAAATGTAACATCAAAACAATAACTTAAATTATGATTAAAGTTATCGGTATTACATAACTTCAAACTTATAAAAATTTACAAATATATATATATATTTCTATCTAAGTGGAATGAATTGTTATATCAAAATAAACAACTTGTTGAAATAATTTTGATTTCTTTTTATCTTTATTTTGAAATAATTGCAATATATTTGTCGAAGGTGAAACCTATCATTTGATGATTCCAATTATTTAATAGCTCAATCTTTTTATCAATGAGATGTGATGTATTTAGGTGGCTTTCAAATACTTGTATTTTTCACATAGAAAGAGCCAAAATTTTGTATTTTTCACATTTCTAGTTGTTTATAGAAAGAGTCAAAAATTTTGTTATATCGTTAGAATCTATAAATTCGGTCATTTAATTAAGAGAATATTATTACTTCCTATTTTAGAATATAATTTAAAACATAGTTTGGTCCTTGGCTACAACAATTTTTCAAAATGAAAATGAAACCAAAGACAAAAACCTGCATAATTAACGAACCTTGTAAAACAAATGTCGGTGGAGATTTTTTTTCTATTACTTGCACAAAATTATATCACAAGTTTGTTCAATATTTTAATTAAGATTTTGATTTTAAAGTATCAAAAGTTAACTGGAATTTTAAATTTTTCTTTCACAATTAAAGACGTATTATTCATTCTTCTTGAACCCATAAAAAATTTATTATACTATATATAAACATAACTCGCAAAAGATGCGTATAACTCAGATCAACCAGTACCGGAATTAAAGGTGATTCAACTCCACCTAATTACCGGAAATGATGGTGATAGAAGTCCACCTAATTACCGGAAAATGATGGACGCAAAAGCTTCCTGGAGGTTCACCGACGGCTCGGCATCAGCATGCGTATTTCTTTGACCAATATCAACAATCTCCACAAAATTTAAGCCAAATATTAAAACAGTAGTACTCCATCACTGCTATAATTATTACTTAATTATAGGTTACTTGAATTAATGTTTACATCAAAAGTTTCATCAGGTTTCCGGTACATTTACCGGGATAAACTAATATGTGGAGCATCAATCGGCACCATTTGATGAGCTTGCCTCATCGCCAATGACTTGTAGATCTCGATTATTATCTTCTCATCATATTCCTTCACAGGTTTCATTCCAAACCTCGCTATTCCTTCTCCGTAACCACCACTACCTGCAACCACCGGCGAATTCGCCATTTTCATCATCATCCTCATATAACCGTCACGGATCCCGACGATGAACTTCCTTGGGGAGTACCTCAGCTTCAGCTTGGGAGTTATCCTAATCCTCCAGAACCGCTTCCGCCGCTTTGTTCCAGATTCTTCGCGGTTCTTCCCGCCGAGCCGCTCGTAGTGTCTCCTCCCCCAGTACCTTTTAACTCCTTTGTAAACTCTGGTCCTGAGACCTTCCATTTTCGAGATTTATCGAATGAATTGCTCTAGAAAACCAATCGATCACTGGTAGGCCAACGAATCGCAAGCTAGGTGAATAAATGTAGATAAACGGAAGCAGATGGAGATATTCAGACAACGGAAATGGGTGGTGGATTCGCCGGAGAAGAAGGCGAGGTGTGGGAGGGTTATAAATAGGAAGAAGATGTGCGTCTCGGTGAGTATGTGTTGAATTTATGGAGATGAGTGGGTTTTGTTGCTATACTTGTCGCGTATTTACGTTACTGTGGGGTCGATAATCGTGACCGTCGGATTCTGGTACTTGACCTTTGAGAAATGGTCGTCGATCTATTACTAGGATAAATAACTAGAGGCGTAGGATACATTCATATTTCTATTTGAAACTATATTTTAATATCACATAATCGGTATATAAAATTATATTTTAATCAAGTAACAACAGGGTTTTAATTAAATATTATTATTTAACATTAGTATAAAATATATAATTATTGTAATACAAAATAAAATTACATAAAAAGAAATTATATTTCGTTGTTATTGTTTATTTCTTATAACTAATTTCATCCCTTATATAATTTAAATATTTTTTTTAAAATTACAACATTAATTATATTATCGAAATATTTATATATTTATCACCCAACAAACTTTAGAAATAGGTTAAACAATTCAAAATACATGTAATTTAATTATCTCTAGCATTTGAGTCGTTTCTTCTGTCTTTGGGTTTGTCGGTTTGGTTCCTGCTTATAGATGGTTTTCCTTTTTTTTGTTCTCTCTAGTTTCTACATCTCGCAGTTGTTTTAGTGGGTTTGTTTTTGCTTCAAAAAAATTGTTGCCTTTTAAAAGAAGTTAAAAATACATGTATCTTTCTTTGCGTTTAATTTCTAATTTTAAAGAATTTTATCCACTCATTTATTTCTTTAAAATCTATTTTAAATAATTTATTTAAGACGTTTTGTTTTGAAAAGCATTCACTTGATTATGTTTGATCTATAACAGATTATATATGTAAAATAAAGATGAAGGGATAAAAAAAAAGGTTGATAATATATTAAAAAGAAATTAGATTTAGTATTAATAAAAAGATTTCTTGGTTATTTAGACTTTTATATGACTTTTGAACTACTGTGATTTTGTTTTGTTGTATAAATACAATACATGAAATATTTAATTCATAACCTTGTCTAAACAGGATTATTTTTTTTGTATTTATATTTTAACAAGACTCAAACAAAAGGATGTTAGGGAGTTGTGTATTTTTATATTCATTCATCCAGTCTTGGTCCAATTACAACTTCTCCTCTTACCTGGCGCTTTCTATTCCTAACCACGTTTCACATGTTCCATTTTTGTTTAACAACACTTATAACTCCTAATCGTCTCACTCTAACTTAATAATATGGAAAATTGTTTATTCACTAAGTTTGTAATCAGAGCTCTATATAAAAAACCATGTTTTTTTTTCCAAACATGTCATACTAATTAAAAGACACGCTAATTAATTCTATACATGAAAAAAAACCCTTCCAAACATAAAGTTTTTCAAAATATACGAAACACAAATAATGCAAGACTCAACGAAAAATGATACCACCCCATAAATGGGATACAAGATTTTCCAAATAAATCGAAATGTGGTGTCGGAATATCAAAACATGAGCCTTTCCAAAAAAAAACTTAAATACACTTGTTAAATTAATAATTTATAACAATAAGTTTCGAGTCTAACAACCTTATAATCTAATTTTTTAAAAGAAATAAGATTACATTTGGATGTCATCTAAACCAACAAAATAATGTCACTGGTTGGCGTCTCAAAAATGTCCCCAAAACTCTCTTTCTAACGAACCAGTCAAAGCTTATTGGCAACATCTTCTAGTTCATCATATACAAACATATTATTATTTATAAAAAAAACAAAAAAATAAAATAAAATGTATTTCACATATTTAAGGTAGCTCTGTTTTTTTTTTCTCTTTTATTGTTTGTTTGATATAATCATCAAGGATACGTTTTTAACCTTGATATAGCCAAATATGGTTTCTCTTTCATTTCGTTGCATTGCACTGGATATATAACTAATAAATGTGAAAGTAATCAATTCGTATTTAGCACCAATAAGTCTTTCATTCCTACTTTATGCAGAACGTGTTTTAAAATAATATTATTAATATTAAGAAAATAAATATATATTATTAAACTATCGTGTTTTGAAATATTTATTAAAAAATCTTTCATTTTTTCTACCACAATAAAAAAGTAAGGGGTTGTTTGACAATTACTGAATGGTTTGGTGCAAAATGATTAAGTGGTTATAATAACTTTGAGACTCTCATGATATAGTGCAAAATGAAATATAATTGCTTGGTAATCGTGTACAATGAAATTATGGCTCTTAATGGTTAAGGGAGTTTTATGATACAAAATCATTCAAAAGGTTTTAGAATCATTAAGAGACAGACTTTTTTTTTTGCCAAACAAGATTCACCTATTAACGATTCAGAAGTTGTCTTTTAATGGAACTATTATGAGGTAAACAAACAACCCATAAGCTAAATCATATAGTTATAATATCTCTGGGACCATTTAGTTGCAAACCCATAAAACTATGATAAACTTGAGAATAATGCATCGTATACTATTTCATATGATCGTTAGCCATCTATGATCTGGATTTTCGGGGTTGTTTACCTAAATGCTTACCCGATAAGCGCTTACCATTAGGAGTCAACAATATAATTTATTTTCTAGGTAAGATTGTGGTATATCAAAATGGTATCGTGTGCAACAATATATATGGTAAGCGCTTACCCGGGTAATAGTCGTCACCCTCACTTACCGGGTAAGACTCTTTATCCTTATCATTGCTCTTACCAGGTAAGATTCTTGGGTCTTGCCATATTCGTCCTGTGAGGAAAATTGCCCGGTAAGCACTTATCGGGTAAACGTTTAGTAAACGGTCCTTAGTCTATTTATAAACATAAATTTGTTTCACAATTTGAATATCTCTTATATGTTTGTGAAACAAAATATACAAGTAAAAAATTTCACATTATCAACCGAATATATATGAAACAAACAAATTGTAAAAAAAACCTATGTTAATTAATATATTAAATATTAGTTTTAGATGAAAAGAATCATGTGAAAAATACCTTACGTAATAGTTTTGACAAATATTACAATATAGAGGGTTTTTTTTTATTATTAAGACTTTATGGGGCAGGTTCAAACGAGAAGACAATCAATTTGCAAGAAGATGATAAGTAATATGGGTCACAAAATCCATTAATTTTAAAAAAATAACATAGATAAAAAATGAAATATAATTTTAAAAATTAGGATAACTGTCATTTTGAATTGAATAAATCCTTAAAAATCTCATTATATCTTTTAGATTTTTTAATTTTAATTAAACAATTAATTAATTTTTTTGTCAAGTTTTATATAGAAAAATTAGATATACTTTTGATAAGATAATTTCATAATTTTCATCAAATATGACATGTGATAATATATGATTGGTATCTACGATCAATTCATATGTGATAGTTGTAGATATTTTTGTTAATCATATGTGATAATCGTATATACTTTTGCTAATCATTTGTGATTGTATATATTTACATTTATAGATCTTTTTGTGACTTACGAGTTATCACATGTGATGATAAGTCACTTGTATTCAGACGCATATTATCATATGTGATATATACAAAAATGTACATTCCGCATTATATAGATTATATGTGACATGTAATAGATTATATGGTAAACGAAGTATATCACATATGATTCAAAACGTGGATTCAAAAATTAAAGAAAATTTGATAAAAAATTTGTGAATTTTTTTATTATCAAAGTATCTAGAAATAAAGTTATATAAAACTCTATTAAATAATTATGAATCTATTACATTGAAAAACAAATAAATATATAATTAGATTTTTGAAGATTTATTTAATTTAAAATAATATTTTTTTTGTGTTATTTTTTAATCAATGGATTATGTGATCCATATTTCTTTTTGTATTTTCGTAAATTAGTTAGTTTTTCGCATGATTCTTCAATCTCCCTCAAGACCCTATAACCAGATTAGTAAATTATTGTAAAAATCAAAGAAGTTAAATAAAGATTTTGCAATCAAAACGAAAACTTAAATATATTAATATTAATATTAATATTAATATTATGGACAAAATTTATTAATGCAAGACAAGCAATTTGCCCTACATGGTTTCGGGCTTTTGATGAAAGAAACGGAAATGAGCCCAAGAAGCAATGGTCCGGCCCAAAACATTTTTGATTATCTAGATTCCTTATGTCTATTAAGAAATACTAGAAGCGTACTCGCGTAATGCAGCGAGATACATCGTGATTTTAATATTTCATTTTTTTCTTTATCTCAGTTGATTTATAAGATGGATTTATGTGATTTTGAGAAAGCGATAATATTTTTATTTTTGAATAAAATATATGTTTTAAGATATTATAAAATTTTGACAAAAATATATCGATATTAGTATCAAATTAACTATTTGAAATTCCTCATTTTTTGTGTAATTTTTTAATTCAATTTTTTTATAATTTAATTTATGTACAATAACGAAGTAATTTATATTTGGTTTAATAATATAATTTTTTTATAAAGATAATTATTATTTATTTTGTTGGAACTCGATAATTATTCTAATTATATTTTAAAATGAGATGTTCATCCTCTATGTGATTATGTTTATCTACAGTTATTTATACGAATTCAAATATCGAGCTTTAATAAGTTGTACTTATGCATAATTACTTGTAATCTTAAATTTTTAGTAATATGCATTAATATACAATACTTTATGCATAACAAAAATATATCGATATTCGTATCAAATTAACTATTTAAAATTCCTCATTTTTTGTGTAATTTTTTAATTCAATTTTTTATTATAATTTAATTTAGGTGTAACGCCCTCAATTTTACCATGAGAGATGTTACGTAATCTAAAACAGATTCTCCAAAAACACTCCAAAAATAATGGCTAAATTAAAACTTTAAACTGTTCACAGCGGAAGACTTTAAAAGAATAAATATATAACTTGATGTCAGCCCGTCCCATACCGTGTTGCTTTACAAATTTATATATCATAGACGATTGCGCCTAAATATTGAACTTAAATGAACTAGACAAGTCTCTATGTATGCCATTCTCTTTCTTTGTCCAACCTGAAACCTTCTGTTCCTGAGATGCATACTATAGTCAGCTTATAAAGCTCAGTGAGTTCATGGTTTGTGTGAGTAAAGATCATTGCACATCATACATTTCAACTTATAAACTTTGTACCAATAGTATGCATTTTCTGAAAAAACATGCAACATTGAAAGAAAAGAGATCTCATAACTTGTCTGTCGGGTATGGGTCATTTAGTCACAAACACGCCCTGGGTTGATATTTCAATCTTAATTGATCACCCACTTGTCCGGGTAGTGTTTTATAATGGTCGTGACTTACTGGTAAAATGTCCACCCTTGAATCATCAAACTTTAATATGGAATAACATGCTAGAGTTATTTGAAAACTAATTAAACACATAGCATGCAACCATTCACAAAATAGCATACATGTAAAATATATCATGTATGTAAACCAAAACATCATGCATATGTACCCATTGTCATATAAATCATATAATGCTTGAAAATAACTTTATACATAGGTATGCATCCCATTGTAAGTCTCATGAAGACTCATCTGATTGCGTATAGAATGATTACCGATAGCTCTTGACCAAATGCCTACACATTTCATACCATAATATCTCATTAACGTCTTAATTTCTCAAAAAGTCAACAAAAGTCAACTATTGTCATT